CTTTCTTTCTTTCTTTCTTTCTTTCTTTCTTTCTTTCTTCCTTTCTTTCTTTCTGTTTTTACAGATTTTATTTCAATAGACTTTAAAAAACGATTTTCTCCCTTCTCTCCTTTCCTTTCCTCTCCTTAACTTTGTTTCTTTTCTTTTCCTCTCCTTCCCTTCCTTCTCTCATTCTTCTTCCCTGTTCCCTTTTTCCTCCATTTTGATCCTCCTCCCCCTCATTTTTCTTTGCTCTTGGTTTTATCTAAAGAAACACAATGCAGTGGAGTAGGTTGAGTCTCTTTGCAGACAGGTAAATCCATGTTGGTACAACCAACTCCAGGGACATGGAAATGAAGAATTGGCAGAGAAGCACCAGTGAGGCTGTTGACATCCCTCGTGCTTGTCTGTCAGCTGTGTGACTTTAAGAAAGGCACCTGGATGCTCTGCTACTCACTTTTCTCATCTGTATAATAGTAATGCTCAGAATTCCTAATAAAAAGAGTTGTTGAAATAGTTAAATGAGGTCTAATATGTGGAGTGTTGTTAGAATTCTGGGTACTTCATCAGTGCTGAGGAAATTGTATTCACTAAATATTACCCTTGATTTTTCTTTTGAATCTCTGGCTTTTATAGATTATCCCTTTAAGTATGGAATCTTTGATAAGATGGCACAGAACAGTGGAGTTATTATTTGAGGAATTGTGATATTGAAGTGTCCAAAGAAAGAAATGTAAAACAAATAATCTTAAACACATGTATAATCTAGGCACTCACTCAGAAAAACAAGATAGCTCACTTTTTAAAAAATTTATTTATTTGCTCTTATCAGTTATACATGACAGCAGAATGCTCTTCCATTCATTATACACAAATGGAGCACAGTTTTTTACTTCTCTGGTTGTACCCAAAGTAGGGTCACACCATTCGTGCAATCATACATGCACGTAGGGTAATGATGTCCATCTCATCTCACCATCTTTCCTACCCCCATGTCCCTTTCCCTCCTCCTCTTTGCCCAATCTAAAGTTTCTCCATTCATCCCTGCCCCTGCACCCCATTATGTATAAGCATCTACTTATCAGAGAAAAACATTTAGCCTTTGTTTTTTTTTCGGGGGGGTTGGCTTACTTGGCTTAGCATGATATTCTCTAACTCCACCATTTATCTGCAAATGCTATCATTTTATTCTCTTTTATTGCTGAGTAATACTCCATTGTGTATATATACCACAGTTTCTTTATTAATTCATCTATTGAAGGACATCTAGGTTGGTTCCACAGTTTAGCTATTGTGAATTGGGCTGCTATAAACATTGATTTGGCTATGTTACTGTAGTATGCTGCTGTTCTGTACCTTTGGGTATAGAACAAGGAGTGGGATAGCTGGGTCAAATGGTGGTTCCATTCCAAGATTTTTAAGGAATCTCCATATTGCTTTCCAGATTGACTGCACCAGCCGATTGGCTGCACCAGCAATGTTTGAGTGTACCTTTTCCCCCACATCCTCGCCAACACTTATTGTTGTTTATATTCTTGATAACTGCCATTCTGACTAGAGTGAGACAGGATATCTCACTTTTTTTTTTTCCTCAAAAGTATTTCCCCAATATATCTGTGGTAATGTATGTATATATTATTATTTTATTAGGTTTATAGTAAATTACTGTTTAGATTATTTTAATAAATATTTAACAAGTATTTTATTTGGCCTTTTCCATATCAAATTGTTTTCTAAATCTTGCCTCATTAGGATTATACTGATTTTAGACATAATGTATGTTTAAAATCATTAATATGCAAATTTTTTATTTAGGAAGAGCAAACCATTTTATAGACTTCAAGAAGTCAATATTCTTGCTCAATTTTTCACTGATATTGTAAATATTTCAAGCATTGGTTTGACGTATTTCCAGACCTCAAATATACAATGTTCCACATGCAACTACAGGATCCAGAGTCTCATGTTAAAATCTCTCACGTACCCAGAAAGGTAAGACCACTCAATTTTTATTTCAATGTGTCATCTTTAACTTGAAAATCCCTTGTTAAGTAATGTTATAAATATTCATGTATAAATAGTCAAGTATCTGTTTATTGTTGATTTCAGACTATATTATACATAGATATTAGAGTGTTAAAAAGGTATGAAATACATTTCTTTTTGCTTGGATAAAATTTATTTTGAAATTACATTACCTAAGCAAAGAAAATACACAGACACAGTCACTTCCTAAGACAAAACAAACATGAAAAAGTGAGACAATGTGTGCCTTAGAGGTTTATCTCTGGTTTCTTATTTACAATACATTTTCACGAAGTGGTTGAGAGCTGTCCTTTAGATGGTGTCCAGTGGTTGAAAACTATGATGAAACACAGGGTCACAGCAGATGCAGGTCGCCATGACTTCCAGCAATTCATTCTTTCTCCCAATTTCATTACCCTTTGGTTGGGGAAGGAAGAAAGTCCATTTTCATCTGATGCCCCTAAGATTCTGGAGATAACTGGAGATTCAACACAAGAACAGAGTGAGACTCTGGGATGCGTACCACAACAGCATGAAGAGAAGCTGACTCTACACACTTTAGTCTTATAGTCATTATAGTCATCTCTCTTGTTTGTCACTTATGTCACTGTTGCCTCCATTCCTATTGAAATGTGACACCATCATGATCATCTGGGGTATATTGTCTTGGGGATCATCAGCTTAGCAGTAGTTTGCTTCATCCCACTGACTGTTCTTGATTTCTTATACTCACAACCACAGAGGACTCCTTGTCCTCATGGTAGTGATGAACATGTTTACCACAGAATTCATATCTCCATCAATAACACCCTTGTGAAGGTACTAGGAACACTGAGGAGCTCCTTTGTGAGTTGGTCACCTGTCATTTGCATGTGTGAGTGTTTCCAACAGTAAGCATCAACTGAGAGCCAGTAGAAAAGCCATGTGTGGATTGCTGGAAATCTTTCTTTACTTGACTATGATGCTTTCTCTTTATGTACTTGTGCATTTATATATCTGATTTCCCAATTACCTTCCTATGAATGTTGATAATAGTAAATATGAATTTGTGGAGAGTAAAAATAAAAATGATAAGTGATAAGAATACAGATTTACATGAAGTCTATATCAACAGAGAGGAGTTGGGAAAATTCTCTGAAGTATAAGTCATTTTATAACTTTGGGGGCAATATTTAGACACTAAAATGTCAACAAAATGCCATTATAATTACAAAAAACTAAGGATTATTTTATGGTCATTTGCCTTGGATTACAATGTCTACAAAAAATATATGGACATTTTTAGCAGGAGCATTTTGCTTCATCATTCTCTACCAAAGTACAAGGTAATGATGGTGGTGAGGTCATGCCTTGAATGACTAAAACTGTAAATATTTCAATCTTCAACCAACCTCCATATTTACTTTGTTAAAGATACAAGTTCTCCATTAAACACAAGCATAGAAATTGTATTTGCAGTCCCCAAAGCTGGGCTTAGAAGAGGTCAAAGTTGTAACAGCATCATATTGTCCTCATCTCCTCTGTCCATACCTTTCTGAGTGTAAAGATGGAGGATATTAGTGCAGAAGTCTAGAGGTTGTAATTTTGCATCTTGTCTATAGACTTTAAGGGATTCATATTGTCCAGGAATAGTCTTTTTAAAATTTGGTATCATAAATGGAAAGAAAAATGAAGAATTTTCTTCTCCGTCCAGTAGAAGCACCCAATATAAATCCTAACAAGATACCAGGCGTTTAACAAGAGTATTTGTATACAGAACAGCACACAAGCTCAAGATGAGCAAAAGAAGTTTTGTTGTAAGCATGAATACAGTAAAAGAAACTACTCAGACTCCATTCTTTTCGAGCATGGGTAAATATGGGGGTAGACACTCCACTTACTGTTTAAACTGAAATGAAATGAAAACACAACAACATAGGTAATAATACAGTGTTGAAAATAAAAGAAAATTTTACAATCAAGCTTTAGGAATAAGTTTACTTTAAAAATGTTTATCAAGGAAATTACATAAAGCATTGCTCAGGGTTCTCACTGATATTTAAGAAAACAAATTCAGAAAAGAACAAGTGAAGACTGATATGATGAAACAAATAATAGTGGTTAAAAGAGATTTGGCTGAGATAATTGAAATCAATATCAAAATTGGTATTGGTATTACAAACAATAAAGGAAGGTTCAATAATGTAGAAAATACATTATAACCTACTGAATAAGGAGATATAAATATTTGAGAATATTGGATAATATAGATATGGGAAAATAATTGAAATGCGAAGTGGATACCTAATGTCACTAAAGAAGAGACAGAAGAGAAATAATATTTTGTGATAAAATAAATCTCCCTTTAATTGAAGAAAAGAAGATAAAGATCTCAAATGGAAAGGCTGAACTAAAAAGCAGGAAACCAAGAGGCCAACACTTAGACTATTCTTATAAAATTTATTTTAAAATTTTGATGATAAAGAGAATTTTTTAAATATTCAAATAAATCTTTAGGGAGTAGAAAATTCAATGTTTTAGCAATGAGGGTTTTTATTAAATGCATGTGCAGGTTTAATGTGATGCCAATAAAAAATGTAATATTTGAATCTTCTAACCAATCTGAAATTAGAAATATCAAGATGAGCCAAGAAAGCTTGAGTAATTAGTATAATTTTTATAACTTTAAGTGTGAAGCAGTAAAGAGTTTATCATTGCTTCCATGCAGCAGTAATTTAAAAAGTCTGAAATTGACAGATAAATTTAAATGTAGTTTAATGAATAAATAGAAAACCCCAAATCTTAGGGATGTTGAGGATAGCAGTCAAATAATGACACTATACCAAATGATTGGCAAGTAAAAATTTGACATTTTCTTATCACACATCAAAATTAGTTCCAAATATAGTGAAGTATTAAATGTAAACTGGTAAACAAAGAACAGAAAGAAATCTAGAACATGTTTGTGTTTGCACTAAATTAAAGCTGAGATAGAAAACAAAAAAATGTTAATCAGTTTGCCTATATAAAAATCTAAAAAACAAGTATTATGTATATGTCAAAGATACCATTAACAAAAATAAAATAAGCTTAGAAAATTTTATAATGTATATGATATTGGATGACTTTAAACTATATATAAGTAATTTTTACAGAACCTATTAAAATGCATTTTAGTTGGAGTATGGAGTAAAGGACCTTCAAATTATTTAAAACCCAATTTCTGAGCCTATCTTCATTTATCATAGCCTAGATTCTTTGTCTTACATTCCACATCCAGTTTTGATATTGCTTGTCTCTACCTTCTAATCATTCTCAGAATTCATCCATTCTTCCCATCTCCACTGCTACAAACTCTATTAACCTGGACTGTCCGCTAGAAACATTTTAATAGTCTCTTACCTGTTCTCTTTACCTTAGCCAAATATCCTATAATTTATTTTTTTCTTTTCCTTCCCCCTGCTCCATTTTTCTCCTTTTCTTGGGGGTTGGGTATTAGGGTTGAACTCAAGGATGTTTTACCACTGAGCTACATCCTCAGCCATTTTTTCATTTTGAAACAGGGTCTCATTAAGTTGCTAAGGTTTTCACTAAGATTGCTGAGGCTGACCTTGAACTTGCTATCCTTGGGCTTCGTTCTCCCCAGTTTCTGGGGTTCTAGATGTGCATCACTGTGCCTGGCCTATAGTTTGTTTTTAAAACAGTGCCCAGAGTGATCCTGTGAATGGTGGCTTTGGTCCTGTTAAACTGACTCACTTAGCTCTTCTCAAAGGCTTTCTTGATGTCCTTGGATACCCTGGACTGATACTCCTTACTGTAACTTCTCCCTCCATGCTATTCCCCTGGTTGGTTCCTCTACCTGGAAATTTCTGCTGCTTGATATGCCCCTGGCTAACTTTCTTGTCTCCAAAATTTTTCTCAAACATGGTTTTCTCAACGAAACCTACCTTACCATTTGGTTTACAGTGTACCCAGCAGTCTTACCACTCCTAACCTGCTTCTTTATCATTGTAGCACTTGTTATTTATGGTGAACTCTATACTTATTCCTTATTTTTGTTGTTTGTTTCTCTCTGGAAGACTGTAAGCATCTTGAGGGCACTGATTTTATCTCTTCTGCTCAAAATATTTCAAGTGCCTTAATATGTGCTTGGGACATAGTGGTCACTAAATGAATGGTTATTGGATGAAGAAATGCGTATGTATCTTGTCATAGAACAACTCTAAAAGTTGAAGTAACAAATGGTTAATAGAATCTTTAATCCTGATTGTATTCATGTAAGTTAAAATTAAGGCAAGGAAACATAGCATATTTTTCCCAACTTGGCAAAACAACGTCTGTTGTTGAATTCATACTGAAATTGCCTTCCTGTTTTACTGCTGGTAGGTATGCAGGCTTTTACACATATTCCATAAAAAAATTAGTGAAATATATCAAGAACTCCCAAATGTTAATACATCATTTTGTTTTTAAGAATTTATATTTCAGAGACATGGGATGGTGTTTAAGAGCATCAACTCTGCAGTCAGAGTGTCTGGATTTGATCAATTAATTACTGTTTTTGTCATCTTGAACAAATGAATTAATCATCTGTGCTTTAGTGTCCTTATCTGAAAATAGGAATAATAATACTTTACTTTGTAGAATTAAGAAGGTTAAATAGTATAAAGGAAATCTATAATAGATACAATATTTTAGATATTTAAACTATTGCCTGGCATATAGTAAGTGCTATGTAAATGTTTGTTAAAGGAAATATCAGAAATATATATAAGTATTTCTATATAAGAAATGTATACACAGTTTGACTTACAATACTAAAATAGAAATAAATTAACTGCATTTGGTGGGATAATTGATACATATATTATGGAATATCTATAGTATGAAATGTTAGGTAGTCATCAAAATGGGCCAATTAACACAGCATATTGTTTAATGACTAATTTTTTCAAATATAATCAATGTATTCCACAATTAGGAAAAAAACAATGAAATATATTTTTTTTTCTTGGGGGGACTTGATGAAAATAATTTAAATATATACTAACATAATAATTCTGTAAATTTAGTCTAAATATTTTCCTTATTTCATGTTAAATTCTCTGGTTACTTAAATGTAGTTACATATAGTTCAATAGTTTCAAGATTCTTTTGGAAATATATATAAGGCTTAAATTTAACGAAGGGCAAGCATTTGAAGAAGAAGAGTCAAGAAGCTGTCTTTAATTTAGAAAATAGCCTCAGAAAGCCAATTTATAGTTACATACTTTGTGGTGAAATAGAGATTTCATTTTTGTCCTTTAAACTTCATGCCCAAAACACCAAAGTACTCTAGAAATTGTGGGAATTGGTGCTCCAGATCTCTGAGATGTATAAAAGTAGCAACTTTTGCAAAACCTCTGAAGTACATTTTTCCAATATGTGTTCATACAGTCTGAAGCTTTCTATTCTCACTGTCCACTCCCTTGTCCCCCTCCCCCCCTTCTCAAATGATGTGATCCAGTTTCAGGGGATTGTGGAGAGGTGGCATAGATAAAACACCCCAGTGTCAGTAGTGTGAGGCACATATGCATGTGTTTTAGTAAGCTTTTTGCTGCTGGGACTAAAAGCCCCAACCAATACCATTGTAGAAGAGGAAAACTTTGTGGGCTCAGGGTTTCAGGGATCTCAATCCATAGACAGCAGGCTCCAAATCTCAGGCTCAAGGTGAGGTAGAACATCATGGCAGACAATTTTGGCAGAGAGAAGTGGAACTCACTCACATGATGATCAGAAAGCAGAGAAAGACTCCACTTGCCAGATACAAATATATACCCCAAGGCCCAATAGCCCCAAAGCCCAACCTTCTCCAGCCACACCCCATCTGCCTTCAGCCACCATTTAATCCCATCAGGTGATTAATTCACGAATTGGGTTAAGGCTCTCGTGACCCAATCATTTCTTCTTCGAACCTTCTTGCAATTTCTTGCAATGTCTCACGCAAGAGCTTTTGGGGGACACCTCACATCCAAACCATAACAGTGCATTTCTGTATGGAGTGTAAGGCACACCTCAACAAGAAGAATCTAACAGGTTTAGGAGGCCTGAATTGGATGCTCCTCACATGTACCAGTATATGGTTAAGAAATAAAACCTATTCACAGAAGTATTGGGAATAGAGTTGGAAATAATTTTATTGATAATTTCAACAATTATTTTCCCATTGTTGAAATTATCAATAAAATTATTTCCAACTCTATTCCCAATACTTCTGTGAATAGGTTTTATTTCTTAACCATATAAATTCTCCTAGGTTCTTGTAAATATTGCAATTATTAGAACACTCTCGACTTCCTATCAAGGCTCTATTCTCACTTCTACCACTCTGGTAACTTCAGTGCTAAGCATTCTAATCCAAGAGAGTTTGGGGTGATATAGGAAGACTGAGCAAAACTAAGAAATTTGGAAAAAGAAATCTTTCATTGATTGAAATTGCATCTCATAAGGTAGAATTTATCTTCAGAGTTATTTATCCCAACTTTAGTTTAACCTCTTCCTGCAGAGAATTGAAGGGACTTTTAGTTTTATCCAAGGTGCAGGTTTTAGACAACACACGTGATTTAAATGCAATATATTGTGTACCAAGGATGGATAATTTTAAATATTTGAGCACTAAAGATACATTTTTTGAGAATTTTTATGTGATTGAACTGCTTTCTAGGTAAATAATCATGTGAACATTTGTATATAATATGCTAAGTTGCAGATGCTATTTTTTGTGATATTTAACACAAGCCTTTGAGATATTTTGTTTTATTTAGCAAGGAGACAGAAATTCACTAGTGGAAAGAACGTATCTAAGCTTTATTAGCTACTTAATATATTCTAATATTCACTGCAGAACTTTTGAAAGTTTTATTTACTATATCATCCTTCAAATAAAAGATAACAATTATTAATATTTTGTTATATTAAGCATATAAGTATAAGCATGCATGCTACAATTAAACCATGCATTTAATTTTTTATATCATGGTAAAAGCAGGGTCTATTTGTGAAATCATGCAGTTCTATTTATTGACTGCAATAAAGTCAGGTATTCACTGTTCCTGTGGACATCAACATGAACACAATGTATCCAACCTGCACTGCACTGTGGACCAGGCTATCAGCCTTTTTTTTTTTCTCTTTCTAACTATAAGTTAATGACTACATTGTATTTCACCTTTTGTGGAATATTTAACCTTATATTTCATGATTTTCAGATCCTTCATTTTTTTTACAATGTGCTATTATGATAAACAATGAATATATGTACATATATGACTATTTGCATTTTAAGCAGTTTTCTTCTTAAGTATTCATAGTTGAGAGATTAAGAAGGAGAAACATTTTCAAATTTTTCATTTCACTCCATAATGCTCATACCTTTATTCAGACTGTTGGAGAACCTACAGGTAGTCCCTGTTCTCCCAGTGTATTTCCTTCTTTAAGGTCACTTATTACAGTTGGTAAAGGAAACAGAAGAGGCAACACAGATAACCACCATTATATTTGATTCATTATCAAATAGTGTGTAAAATTTATTCACAGGTTAAGAAGTAGTGTGAAGTTATTGGGATATGCCCCAGTGTAAAAAAAATGCTCTAGTTTGTAATTTTAAATTTAATGTGAAATCTAAACCATGGATAGAATATGAAAATTCACTACGTTTATGAAATTTGGAAGCAGTTGTTTCTACTCAGGAAAAAGATACCTAAAATACATTTTGTGGGTGTGTAGCAAAACTTAACATTCCCTGCTGGCTGGAGATGCTAACAGATGCTTAGATGAAAGTATGCTGTAAGTTTAATTACCTAGATAATTGCTATAACCATCTAGTGGATTTTCCTATTTAGATCTGTCCATACAGATAATGTGCAATTAATGAGAATTAGCACTGCCAAATTATTGTAAATGTGAGTTATAAAAATGTGATGCCTTATGGTCTAGATTAAACTGCAGGCACTCAACAATAATTATTCTTGTAATGAGTGTGATAGAGACTACAAGCACTCTTTCCTTCCAGACAGTTAAGTAGGACCTTAGAATTTAGGGAGTGAAGAATATACATGGCAGATGTGACCTGGGATGCCTTCTGGAGAATAATTGGGCTACGTGTCCCCCAAAACTCATGCTCCCAAAAGAGAGTACAGAAATCTTCAGAAGTGAAACGATTAGATCCCAAGAGTCATAACCTAATTGGTAGATTAATCCATTTGATGGATTAATGAGAAGTAACTGTAGGCAGATAGTGAAGGAAGTAGGTCATTGGGGGCATTCCTTTATAGTTTATGTTTTTTCCCCTGGCACCTCTCCCCCTCAGGACCCCTGACCTTTCCTGACTCTACTTTCTGTCTTGAACTGAGCTGCTTTCCTCTATCACACCCTTCTGCTATGATTTCTGACTCAACTTGGGCCCAGAGCTATGGAGTAGATCAATCATGAACTGAGGCTTTGAAACTAAGCCAAAATAAACTTTCCCTCCCCTAAGTTGTTCTTGTCAGGTGTACTGGTCACAGAAATACAAAGTTGACTAAAACAGTCACAAAAATTCCCTGGTACTGCCCCTTGGTTTTCCACACCATTCGCCATCCCCACCCACTGACAACCAGTCTGGTTTTACCTTTTCCAGATATAAACAAAATATGTTATATTATGTAAATGGAATTGTATAATATGTTATCTTTTAGGTGTGGCTTCTTTCATTTAGCTGCTTAAAATTTATCCATATTGCTGATCCCATCAATGGAAAGTGTAGATGAATAGTGTTCCATTGGTGCAAATAGACCACAGTTCATTTATCCATTTACCAGGTAGAGGTCATATGGCTTCCTTGAAGTTTTTGTAGTCTATTAATAAAACTGTCATAAATATTTGCATGTAAGTTTTTATGTGAACATAGTTTTTGTTTCTCTTGGATAGATATCTCAAAAAGGGATTGCTGAGTGATATGTAAGTGTGTATTTAACTTTATAAGAAACTCAGGGGACTTCCCCTGGGTACAGCGGCGCGGCGGGGTTCTGACCAAATTGGGCGAGGGCACAAAATAACCACTTACCCCTTCTCACCGAGGAAGAGCGGGAGAAAGGGTATGGCACAGTCACAGGGCTGGGTGAAAAGATACTTGAAGGCCTTTTGTAAAGGCTTCTTTGTGGCAGTGCCCGTGGCAGTGACTTTCTTGGATCGGGTTGCCTGTGTTGCAAGAGTGGAAGGAGCATCAATGCAGCCTTCTTTGAATCCTGGGGGAAGCCAGTCATCAGATGGGGTACTTTTGAACCACTGGAAAGTAAGGAATTTTGAAGTACAACGTGGTGACATTGTATCATTGGTAATTTGGAATGCTTTTAGAATCTGTGGTTTCTGAAATAATTTTTGTACCAGTAAGGAGCAAGAAGGGACAGTTATTTTTCTACTGGACCAGACTGAGTAATCGTGTAAATGCATTTCTAATTATCATTCTGTGAGCTCCTATTCATTTCTAGCCATCATGGATTTCATTGTAACATGTCATAATTGCAGTAATATTGTTTAAATTATGTTTCTGAATTGTATAAGTTTTTGAACATCTTTAGTATTCCATTGTAACCTGTATCAGTGTTGAAAAGAACCTCAGCTGTATTGACAATTTTTAAAATAACTTTCAAGAATTTATAGGAGAGTACTCAGAGATCTGTTCCAATGGTACTCTTTTTTAAAAAATCATACGAGTTCTCTGAGTGAGATTGGATTATTGTACTTTGATTAGTTCTATTATGACTGAGAGGTCATGAAGTGGCTACTGCAGTTATCTTTTATATTTTTCAGCTTAATAATGAGAAGAAATTGGAGAAATTTGAGTGGTTCCTATGCTGATAATGATGTATTCCCATATTTTATATATTTCCTATATATCCTATATATATCTGTCTCTGTAAACAGATAATGAGGTATATAGTTAAACCCCCATTTTAACACCGAAATTATGAGATTTTTGATATGTAGAAATCCAGAGTTCAAGTTTAGAATTTCTGATATTATATTCTTTATGAATTTCAGCTCCATTTTTGACATCAAGCAGTCAAAATGGCTCTCTTGCTACTTCTGCATTTACCTTGACTAAACTAGAAGATATGATGATAACATTTAAATTATGAAGATAACATAAGATTACTTTCTTGCCCCTGACTTACCTCTGAAGACAGATTAAAATATTTTTCTTTTTTATTCAGAAATAGCATATTTGTGAGTTAAATTTTCCTATATTTATTTTGCTTCCATTTATTCATAGATCATATATTTGTTCTGTCCCAAATATGTGAAAGACATAGCTCAGTCTTCTGGTGTATAGTAAAGTGGATGAATAGTTGAACAGTTGGTCAGAATACCTTGCAGGCACAACTGTAATAGAGATGTGCAGCAAGGGAAATGGAGTGCATGTAGTTATTTCATTATAGTGTCACATTTAAACATATGATCTGCATGTGAGTGACTGAAAACTCCTGAGTAAAAACAGGTTAAATGAGGCATTCTATTAGATAAGAGTTTCTTTTTCATAAATTTTAGAAGTTAGTATTTTTAGTTTCATTTTTCTCTAATAATTTGTTTTCCTACTTGAGTATAGGAGCTGTCTATCCCTTTGAAGTCATGATATATAATTTTAAAATCTGTAACCCCTCA